TATAAGAGTGAGCGTCAGTCCCGCTATTGGCCACTTCAGGCTGCCAAATTGTTGCCTTCCTCCGGTCCACAGTTCAAAAGTAGGGACAACTACGTTGTTACCATAAGAGAGCATTAAGCCTAGTATGTGTGTTTAACTGTACCCAAGGTTTTGTTCATTTGAAACTTAGTTGGCTACACGATTCTTAACACGTTTCAAATATCAGTTCTGTCCCTTTTGAAACTATACCGTTAAATTATATCAGTTCTGTCCCTCTTGAAACTATACCGTTAAATTATATCAGTTCTGTCCCTCTTGAAACTATACCGTTAAATTATATCAGTTCTATTCCTCTTGAAACTATACCGTTAAATTATATCAGTTCTGTCCCTCTTGAAACTATACCGTTAAATTATATCAGTTCTGTCTCTCTTGAAACTATATCGTTAAATTATATCAGTTCTGTCCCTCTTGAAACTATACCGTTAAATTATATCAGTTCTGTCTCTCTTGAAACTATGCCGTTAAATTATATCAGTTCTGTCCCTCTTGAAACTATACCGTTAAATTATATCAGCTCTGTCTCTCTTGAAACTATACCGTTAAATTATATCAGTTCCGTCCCTCTTGAAATGACAAATCTTCGTTCATTATTTCGTTTTAAATTTTACGATTTAAGATACTGTAGTGGCTTGTTTGAAGTTAAGCACAAAGCAACACAATGGGCTATCTGGGCTCTGCCCACCACGGGTATCGAAACCCGGATTCTAGCGTTGTAAGTCCGCAGACATACCGCTGTGCCACTGGGGGGGGGGCTATTGTAGTGCCATTTTTTTTTAAATTGCAATTTAAATAAAGCCATACTGTAGTGGCTATTAATTTTTTGAATTGTAATTTAAATAAAGCCATACTGTAGTGGCTATTAATTGTTTTTTAAATTGCAATTTAAATAAAGCCGTACTGTAGTGGCTATTAATTTTTTTAATTGCAATTTAAATAAAGCAATGTATTTCAGAAAGGTTCGCTAGTTAGGTAACAACACCCACCGCCAATTATTGGGCTACTCTTGTCAACACGAAAAGTTAGATGTGACTGCTACTCTTATAGCGCAGCCAAGACCACAAAGTGCGAAGAACATTTTAATTTTTTTTGTTACAACGAGCTGCAAACCAGGAATCTCCGGATTTACAGTCAGGGTACGTTAACTGCTACGCCACGATTGGCACAAATTGGTTTGATTTTATTGTGTCGTTCAGATACCGTCGTACGATTTACCTTCTGCTTGTCATGATCCTAAACCATCCTAATAAACTACCTAGAAAAACAAAATCCTCTGTGAAATCTTCACTTTGAGTGACCTTCAGATAGATGAGTAAAAAAACAACAACAAAGAAACGGATTTTAGTTTGAGATAAACACATTATTACTAACGATTGCGTATGGTTTGTATCTTCCAAGGTGTAAAACAACAACAACAAAGAAACGGATTTTAGCTTGAGATAAACACATTATTACTAACGATTGCGTATGATTTGTATCTTCCAAAGTGTGCAATCCGCCACTAGCAGCTTTAAAAACAATTGTACAGAACTTCCAATCACAAAAGTTTCCTGCAAATGATGTTTGTGTGTGTGTGTGTGTGTAATATTATAGTAAAACATCTTGGTTTAATAAAAACGATCTTTATATCTGAAATCCGGTCAATTGCGTGTTTTTTTGGTCAAACACAAGCTTATTATTAAGTTTTAGTTGCGCCAACTAATGAGTCACAAGTGTCATTAGCCCCAGCAATACGTACGATGACTCGATAGGCATTACCTTACCCCTAGTGTCTCTTTAGTGGTATGGAGGGCATAAACCTGACTCCGAGATGTCCTTCACGGCAAGGATCTTACAGGACTACTTTCTACGGGTTCGTCTCAGCTCAGATTGTTTGTTTGTAGTTAAGCGCAAAGCTACAAAATGGGATATCTGTGATGTACCCACTACGGGTATCGAAACCCGGTTTGAGAAACGTTAGCTTATAATCTAGCTTAACGCATTTTAACACACACATTTTTCTCTTTCTTCACAGTATTCGAGTATAGCCTATCTCAGAGCTTAATATTTAATATCAAGAATCCAAGTAAACTATTTCGTACTTTTTAACGTAAAACTTGGAGCTGAAATAAGTTACTTACAATAATATTTTAGTTTCTATTGAAGATCGAAGTTATAAATATATGACAGTAACATACTGTCATTTCAAAATAATGATACATGCATTCAAAAAAAAAAAATTCCAAACGTCAGCGCAATATTGGAAGATCTGGTGGCTAAAAAATGTCGTAAAAACAAGTTAATGGTTTTTCCCTCATATTACTGGGCCCTCGCAATCTGTGGGTCGCGGGTTCGAATCCCTGTCACACCAAACATTTAGGGACGGCTAGCGCAGATAGCCCTCGTGTAGCTTTGCGCGAAATCCATAACTAACAAACCCTCATATTACTTTTTATTTATCTATTGCTTATCAAAATCACACGTATGTGTAAAAAATAGTACTTTTGTCTCCCACAGTGAGGTTTTCGTTCAAAACTAGAAATCATCAGTTGATTGGGTGAGGAGAGATATAAGACTCTCAAAAAACATTATTTATATATATATATAGTATAATACAGGAAGGACAGCGAAATATTGAAAACCAAAAGGTCTAAAAATTGCTATAAAAACAAGTTAACTACTGATGTTTATTTTTCACATTTCCCTTAATTTGTCCATTGCGAGTCGGTCAGGCATGGCCAGGTGGTTAGGGCGATCGACTCGCAAT